CTCTTACCCCTAATCCTTTTGAGTCACTTAGGGGCTGTCATCCTGAGGGGCTAATCTTGCTAAAAGCTACCCCTCCCCCCTTCATTGTTCTCTGATCAAACCTCCCACCTCTGTTGACAAGTCTCGGGAGAGAAAACTACCTGATCAGGAGGATCTCTTCCTGGGGGATACTGAGGAATGGCCCCCTGCTAAAAGCAACACTTGAGGTTGTCTTTTCCCCTCACTGTCACGATGTGCCTTCTTGTTTCAATAGAGCTCTAGAAATCTGTCAGGGCCTTCCCTGAATAAGGTCATTTAGATGGCGATTGTTCCCTGAAAAACACAGTTAGTGGGTAAATTCCAGGCCACAATGGAGCATTGACCAAACACCCCTGGAAGAAGTATCCAGTGCCCCCCACAATTTGCACAGGTGACAAACCCTTCTTGCTAAAGTTTACGGTTACAAATAAGAAAGCAGAGAAGCGACAATTTGCTGTTACTGTATATACTTCTGTCTCTCTACGTCATTCCACACATGGTTGATCTAATCAGTTTCTCGGTAAAGATGGCACAAAAAAAAAAAGAAGAGCTGCACAAACAGCATCATTAAACGTAGCTTCTTGGAAAATAGATAAACGTATTGGTCGTTAGCAAGGAGTTTAAGTGGGTGAAGTATACATCAACAAATCTACTTTTCCCACATTATTATTATTATTATTGTTGTTATTATTATTGTACATGATCTCCAAAAACATATTTAAAAATTAGTAAAAAAAAAAGACATGACATTTACTTGAAAATATACTGATAAGTAAAACAACTAAATTGACACAAGAATTAAAAACAAAACATATGTGAAAACAAAAAACAAATAAGGTGGATGTAATATGGAATTAGGCTATTCTTGAAATGAGAAGTTCTAGCAGGAATAGGAAATAGGCCTATTATTTGAATTGCGGAGGTTCCTACCATGGCAAGCAGATCTAGATTGGGGAAATAAAGATTTACAACGATCAGTCCATATGAGCGATAGATTTTGCCAAATATTATCCTATGAGCTCTTTCCTGAATATTTTCTATACCACTGCATTACATTACTTGTGTTGGAGATTCTGGTAGGTTGTGCAAAGTTCAATCAGTGTCTAACACCTTTTTAAACTTTTATTAAGAAAACAGAGATGTGTGAAACAAGTTATCTACAAAATTCTAAAATACCTGGGTGTTTAACAGTCCTCTTACATCAGTGCAAGAGCGGAGAAACCTTGGGGGGGGGAGTCACGACATATATTAAAGCATGCGGAATACATGTAATTTATGATTTACATTTTATATTAAAATGTGGCCATGTCCAAAAATAGGGCGCCAGTTGGAATTTGAGGTGTGCATCGGTATAAAAATCATTCCCGTTTTGTCCTGTTATGTGGGCATAAGACCCCCTAGCGCTGACCTCTTTGTGTGACCTTGTGGTAAAACAGAACCTGCGCACATGTTTAATGTCACTTTTCTTTAAAACATGCATTCTTTTGTTGGAACAATTATGATTAACTGAGGCCAGCTATTAAGATTTATCGAGCCTGCCCATTCGGCATGTAAACTTGTTCAACTACTTTTCATGCACACTTTTGACAAACATTTACAAATGCAATAAATCAACGCTGCACATAAAGTTTTATGACACCTTAGTTTATTTCTGAGTATGCATTTTTTTCAGCTCCATACTTCACAGTAAATATCTTTTAACCAACAATTTCAGACAGAATGTAATTACTAGAAATGTGAATTCATGTCAGTCAAAATGCAACCACACAGCTTAGTATGAAAATTTTAGTTCATGAAATTATACAGCTTGCTTAAGGCATGCTCCCCTTGCAAACATGTCCAGAATGTTGCTTGTTTGTGTTAAAATCTCTCATAAATGTGGTGCACATAAAAAGTGCATGTAATGCTCCAAGTTAAGGGCAGTTGGTATGGAAAGAAATCAGATTGAAACTTTTACATCACAAAGCAATATTCATGGTGAAAGTGGTCACGGTGGAATGATTTCAACTTTCGCGAGTTCACAGCACAAAGTTTACTGTGGCACCTTGACAAGAAACACCCCCTGCACCAGCAAGGAAGAGACAGAGTGGTGGGAAGTTATTCAACCGGGCTCAAGCATGTGCAAAGACAGTACGTGCCAGTAGAACCTTGTCACGTATGCTCAGCGTGTCCCGCACCAAGAACACATGAAGATGTTTCTACCAAATAGCCGTCATAGCTATATGTGAAAACACAACATGTCTTGCTCCTATACAGTGCGGACAGATCTAATTGAAGTACTGGCTTAAACCAATCTCTCTCCTGATTACACGCCATGGTGAACTGTCTCTTTGAGAGTAATCTCAGTTGTTCATGCAGCAAACAGCAGTGTATAAATGTTGGAATCATAACCTCTGCCTGAATCAAGGAAACGTGACTCACAGGTGGAGCCCAGTTGGTGAGAGGCCCTCCGTGTGTAGCACGCTAGACCTGGAATTCACCTAGATCCACAGTGAAACATCCCCACAAATCTTGTTAACAGGTCTTCGCTGGCCTTTTCCCTGGCACCCTGACAGGTCTTCCATACAATTATGAGTCACCAATATTTAAAATAGACTTCATGCATAGGACTTGATCAAACTTCATCTGGGAAACTATCCCAGAAAAAGGCATAGGTGAAAAAGAACATTTTCTGATCCTGGCCGTTATGTCTGCATTTACTACAGGGAGAAGTGGCCAGTGGTTTTAGGTAATGGAACCTAAACTCTACCAAATCACCACTGTGACTTTTTGGTGAACACTTAATGTTTTTATTGTAAAGACACAATATGAAAACAAAGAACATGAAAAATTCTGATTTTAATATTTTGTTGGAATCAAATCCACCAAAGAGTTAACACAGCTTGATTTAGGAGAAAATGTTTGACAAGTACTTATGTATACGTATGCAGTTTTCAAATGGCAGCAAACCCAGTCAAATGAGTCAATGGCTTTATACCATGAAAAAAAACAGGGCCTGGTGGATTTTGAAGGGCCTGGTGGATTTTGAAGGAGTGTTCACTGTAATAGCAACAAGTTAAGATTGTTATCTGTGGTCAACCAAGAAACTTTTGGCTTGTTTCTTGAATCAGCGTGAGTTACTGCTTCAAGAAACATGCATGAAATCAACAAAAGAAAGGACGCAAACTGGAATTATCTGAAGTGAATTACAGGACTGATTTCTCCTGCCCATCAATACCCACACTGAAGAAAATTCACAGTGATATTTATCCAAGTAAATCGGATTCATCACTGACAATTAGCTTCCCAAGGAAGCCAGCTTGTCACATACCTGGGCTGTTTGTACAGAATGCCAAGCATCACAGCTATGCAGGTACAGTGCCAGGAAGTCAGAGTCAACTGCCGATCTTTGGAGCTGGGGGCATGATTTATTTCACTTCTCCAAGCCACAGAGAGGGAGGAGCTGAGGGCCAGTAAATGAATTAACTGTGGACAAGGACGGGCTGGCATCTCAAGATTCTTCACTAAGATTTACAGAAAACAATAAATCTTGGGTGCTTTTGGTGGTACTCCTTGGAGCTGGACTACTGCTGATGACAAACGTCAGATGTGAGCAGTGAGAACGAATTCTGAATGCTTGGCCACAGATCTCAAGAGAACACCGTTTCACACAATCTTGCTCTTAAATCTGCACACTGGCAATTGTTGGTGTCGGTGGCTTGCATGTACCTCCTTTAAACTAGTCCCAAGAGGGTTAAAGCCTCTGATTTCAATTTGATTTTACACACAGCCTAGGCAGTTAAGGTTAAAGCAGGCCTCATCGACATGAGTGGGCAAACAAGGGGGAGGACAATCCCGAGACTACCCCCCTTCCCCGCCAACCACTCCCCATGGTATCAGAATCTTAAGGGGGGGGGAGACGGAAGGGGGAAGACACAATGAGATGCCTTTCCTTCCTCGTCCACTGACAGAACAGGCTTGACGGGGGACCTTTTGTACAGGTGGGCATCTGTATGTCAGTGAATGATGATATTTACATGAGGTTTTCTCCTTAAGGTAAACATGTACAGGAGCCAAGTGCTATCGCATATTAGCATCCTGCTGTAAAACCCCACACAACTCCCTTTCCTTCCTGTGGCTAACATGATGGATGAACGCTTCAACTTGGGGATGATACAAAAAGACACACATGTATTTAACCCCATGGAGGACTTACACAGGGGTATGCACTTGCAACTAAATATCTAACTCTCAGGACACAACCTTTGCGTTATTATAACCCCTGCACATTATTTACCATGCAAAAGAATTTTATTTATTTGGTTGAGGGAAACAGAGAGTTTTGGATTCTTGGAAGAGTCAATTTAATGTCTAAATTGGTAGGAACCTGATCCTGATGAAGTAACCTCTGTCAACATTCCAGTTTGGGGTGTGGAAAGTAACTCCCCATTTTCTTTTTTTTTACGGAGTCCCATCTGATCATGAATTGATGGCAATAAAACAAAATTACAGCCTAGGGTTGGATTCAAATAGGACACATTAATAACTCAAATATGGAGGATAAAACATATTAATGCCACGTTATTTTCCATTTATGAGATGTCAAGGATAAAGAGTTAAGAAAACTCCACCCTAGAAGGGGTAAAAGTAGATGTAGGATTATGTGTATAGAAAAGTACTGAATTAAGAGTTAACATAGAAATATTTGTAGGTACTGTGCCTACATCACAACACTGATACAAATAACCACACATGATTTCAATTTTAATTCATTGACCACCTCATTTTTGCTGAAACTTCCTTAAATTATCCATAATCCACTGCCGTGAAGGAGAAAAATGGCCTTTTCTCTGTATAAGTCTTTGTAACTAAACATTCAAAGTGCATCAGTCTCCTGCATGTTGGATGATGGATGGCTCCACATTCATAAATCCTCATGGGAAAAAAATTCAAAATTTTCCAGTGGATTTTAAAGGATCTGGGAAGTGCCAGCATCCACTTACTCGTCTTCAGCCGGCTGGGCCCAAACACGGCTGTCACGTTGCTGACCGGACAGTTCCAGCGTCTGTCACGGAAGTTGCGCTTGCACTCGCTGATGCCGGCCAAGATGCCCTCGGTCAGGCTGGGGATGAGGTCCGGGTGCAGTTCGCACAGCTTGCGCTGCCGCATACTCAGCCAGTTCTGGGCGTGGCAGTAGCGCTTGGTTTCTGGAGACTGCCAATCCCCCAAGCCTTGTACCTGCGGGATTGTCTGGACTAGCGACAAAGACCTGCAGAGGTGACCAAAAACAGGTTATAAATTAAAACAACAGTGACAATTAATATAGAGCATCCAGTAGCATAACTGAGGTGAAATTTTTGAGGGAGCGTCCATCGATGCATTTTGTTTTCAATGGGCACTGAGAGCAGATAATTTTTTTACATTGCAAATTTCAAATGAGGGGGACACCAGGCGGGGGGGGGGGGCATGGATTTCCACTAGGGGAAGACTTTCCGATTGGACATCCCCCCGTAATGCCACTGGTTTGGTTGTAAGTGTCCTGAGCAAGACTGAAAGGATGATTCAAATCACACAGTGGAACTTCGTGATGCTTTTTGCCAAACTCATTATTATTAGTAATTCATTATAACAGTTTTGACAACAAAAGAGAATTGCTTGTTGGCCACTTATGGAGCGTCAAGAGAGGACAACCCCAATTTCTCTTTTCCCGCAAGAAGATTTTCGGGATTTGGGACTGTGCTTAAAGCATTTTTAAAAATGCAACTTTCCGCTAAGAGAAATTTGGATTTTACTTTAACATGTCTCAAAGGTAGACAACTAAAAACTTGAAATTACCACTGGCGAAATTACTGTCAATCTCCAAAAGTGGACAACCCCATGTTCTCATTTTCTGCAAGCAGATTTTCGGCTTTCGGGGATTTGCGTAAAGCATTTTCAAAAACTCACTTTTCTGCTAGTAAAAATTTGGATTTTGCTTCAAGAAGTCTTCGTAGCGCGTCAAAAGTAGACAGCTAAAAACTTCAAATTTCCTCTAGCAAATCTTATTTGATGCTCCCAAAGAGGGCAACCCCACTTTCTCATTTTCGGCCTATAGATTTTAGGGTTTTTAAGTTGCACCATCTCTTTTAAAAAAGAAAAAAGTCGATTTTTTTTGCTAGCAGAAATCTGGATTTTACTTTGACGACGGCGGGCTGGTCCAAAAGTGGACATGCTGAAAATTGAAAGGAAAGTTTTCTCCCTATACGTTGAAATGGAACGGTCTCAAGAAGATTGCAAAGATTGAAGTGTTGCAAAGCGGCTACTAGAATGACGGTTCTTTGTAGTACTGCAAACTTGCGGAGCCAGCCCATTTTATTGACCCGCCGTCCGTTGACCGGCATCAGGCGTCATTTGGAAGTTCCCTTGCTGTGATTGGCCGTTTTCATGCAACTTGTATTTCCATTTAGCCGCTTTTGTGAAAAAGAACTGGCCTTTTTCAAGTCGAGGATGTGGATATTATGGGATGTATAGAGGGGAGTATTATTCTAAAGGAAAATATAGCAAATAATGTGTCCAATATTGACGAAAACTGTGAACTGATTGTGGTGGAAGTTACTCGGAGTGCCAAAAGTGAAAAACCAACTTTTAAATTCAGATATAAGATTTACTATATAATCCACTATCCATCATTTCACAGTACATGCATCTGATGACTGGTCTGGGCCGTCACTTGCAAGTTTGCATTTTCATTGCGTTAATATCTCAATCATTGTCACTTTGAATCATTTGTCTTCATATTAATGACCCAGGCCTCCACTATAACTGCTCACTTGTGTTGATGACTTGAACAAAGATTTCAATGACAAATATTAAATTAAATTTTTGATGTCATATCAGTGACCAACTGGTGTACTGGCTGAAAGATTTATTTTTGCCCTGGCTATCCTTTTTTTGTGATTGGAAATATTGTCTGAATACGTGTTTGGGAATCTGTGGGGTGTCACAATTAATTCAGCAAGTTCAACTTGCGTTTTAATGTTTACTATTTTTACTTTCTCTATTTTCCCCCTTTGGAAACTCTTGGTTCACTTGATTAAACAGCACTTAGCTTCTTCTCTTAACATGGCTTTTTCACATCGAACCTTTTTCCGTTCCACAACAAACTGAATTATACTACTGGACATAGACAAAATGGTTCATTATACAGCTAGCATCGTTTAGCCTCATATCAGGCTTTCGGCGGCGGTACTATTTGCTCTATGAGTCTCTCGATAGGAATCGTCCACATTTTTTGTTTTTCCGAGCTGTGACGCCATTTGTCAGACCATTGACCCTCTACCGTTGGCTGCCCATCTTCCCAAGACCGTTCACTCAGAGCGCACGAGCGCCATGGTCGTTTCAGTTTTCAACTTGTCCACTTTTGGACCACCCCGCCGTCGTCAAAGTAAAATCAAAATTTCTGCTAGCAGAAAATTGGGTTTCATGAAAAGGGATAGTGCAACTTCAAAAAAAAAATTAAAATAAATAAAATAAAATCTACCGACAGAAAATACGAAAATAGGGTTGTCCTCTTTTGCTATCGAGAGGATTTGAAAAACAGTCCTCTACTTGCACCACCAGTCAACCGACAAATAAACCAAATAATTGGTCATGTTCTTATGTCCGCTCATAATCCAACTCTCGGACAAAAAAGGCCAGATTTCACATACTGCAACCAGGAGTTATTGCAAGTCACCAGAGACGAAGTGTGACTGAATGGGAAAGTATCATCATCAAATAATATTTGCCAGTGGAAATTTGAAGTTTTTAGCCGTCTACTTTTGACGCGCTACGAAGACTTAAAGTAAAATCCCATTTTTTGTTAGCAGAAAATTGAGTTTTTGAAATTGGTTTACACATATTTCCCAAACCCGAAAATCTACTAGCAGAAAATGAGAAAATGGGGTTGTCCACTTATGGAGCATGACAGTAATTTAATTTTGTCAGTGGGATTTGAAGTTTTTAGTTGTTCACATTTGACACGCCATGCACGAGAGTTGTTAAAGTAAAATCCAAATTTCTCCCAGAGGAAAATTGCGTTTTTTTAATGCTTTAGGCTTTAGTCCAAAATCAAAAAAATCTAACAGCAGAAAATGATAAAATGGGATTGTCCACTTTCGACGCTCCATAGCCACAACTACTATCTTTTCCATGTGTTTCCACTTTTGTTTTGTTTTTGTTTTAAACCACTGTAGCTTATGAATAATAGCTCGACCAACTTCTACTTCTCAACGAAATTGCCCTATAGGAGAAAATATTTTAATGGTATATAATCCTGAACAATGAGATTACAGGAATGTGAATCCAAGGATGTGGTGGTGGTCCAGTAGCCTGGCCTTTGACTAGCTGGGTGTAACAATGAAAGTCTTTATAGTTGGCGGGGTCTCTTCACCACACATTCCTAAGGTGGGTAGTGTGAAGTTATTAATTCCTCGTTTGACGTTATCAACATCCAGTGTTAAACAAAATACCTGTTAGAAGCATATACTTCGAACAAACGAACTTTAGACAAATTATATCTTCTAAAAACGGACTTCGAAAAAATATACTCCACTTTTTGAAAATTTATACTTGATGCCACTACAGGGCTTTTTATTCGTCCTTTTCACCTGCGATCAGCAAATTTGTCTTTGGTGCTGATATAGGCCTGTTAGTTGAACAGGTTTTCGTCTTCCCCGACAGATAGCCTTTTGAAATGTTAAGGTTCCAAGCTTCAATCCACAACCGCTTCTGTTCCATCTCAGAAAACAGTTTATACCGAGAGGCACCAAACATCTTCTAGGAACGTGACATTTGCATCTGACTCCCACAGCACGTCTGTGGCCGGCACAGACAAGAAGACCGTAAATTATTGTTGGATGTTGACGTATTTACAAATTGTTTTATGGTTTCGCAAAAATTAGCAGCAACACACCCGTCTAATAGCCCCCCTTATGCAACGATTTTTCCAAACGTGATTTGCAATAAATACCTTCATGGCAGACCTTGGGACCTGCATGAGTAAATATCCTGATCCGAACCAAATCGCAGGGATACAGCATTGGCTCTTTTGCCTCGATTGAAAACTATTACCTAACCCTGCTTAAGCTGGACAAGATTTGTGTTGTGAATCTTGAGTAATTTTTTTTAAGAATACTGAAGAAAGTCAGGCTTCTCACGTGAGGGGGACGTGAGTTGCGCGGGCAAATATGTACCAAAATTGGTACAGCGAGATAGGGCACATCAGGCAGACCGACTACAAGGATTGGCCACGTATTTCAGTTCGAAAAATAAATCATAGTATAGTGCCATGACCGTGAAAACGGTCGATAAACTAGCATCAAAACAAGCCAAATATCTGTGGCACAACCATCGTAAATTATGTGATCGAGGGAAGGGTCCGTGTCTTATTTTGTGTAGGAGTCGAGGCCAATGTCCCCAGCCGAGCCAAGAGGGGAAGCGGCGGTCCGCGACTCGACACGGCCCGGTCGGCGTTTTTATAGGAGAGGGTTCGGCATGTAATTTCGCAACAGTAATGGGGCAGTCATGAAAACTGGGTCCAATATTTAGATGGAACTGACAACTAGAATGACACTGTCGTATGGATTTACGATCGGGCAAGCGAATAAGTCACTTCTCTGTTTGTAAGCTTGATGACATGTACCCCAAATGAGAAGTTATGAGTGGATGTTAGGGCATCATTTTGTAAGCAAAGGAAGAGGTTTGTGGACATCGGAAACGATATTTCTCGATTCTAACAAAGTCCTTCTGACCTAAACAGTTCGGTTTCCACTGAGAGTGCAGAGTTGAGGTACGGAACTAGGATCAAGAAGTTCGTTAACATGATCAAGTAACTTCCGATAGGACGGCATATAACTACAGCGCCTCCAAGTGAAACACTACAAGACGCGATCAAAGTCAGTAATAAATCTAGTCGTTTCACGCTATGTCGCCGTCTCTCTCACATCCAACTGTATATTTCATCATTCTCATGGAGTGTATAGTTTGATCACTCCGCACTTAAAACAGCATGGCTGTCTTAAAACCCTTAAAGAGACAGGTTATTTGGCCCTTCTCACAGCCAGGGGGATTCTGCCCCCAAGGAACTCGGCTGTGCTTAGCCCAATTTTGTTTAAAACGCCATGCATGTTAAAGACACTCCTTTTCATTACAAACGTAAAGATTGAACTCAAACAGTTTTGTTATGGTCATTTGAAGTCCAAAGCTACATGCGTGCCAGCCCGCGTGCATTGAGCGCCAGAGTGGAAAAAA